CTCACGTTGTGCTTTGTTTTTCGTCTGCTTTGCGTTGCATTTGTAGGGTGGAAGGTATCGTGGATTATTATAGTTCTCACAATTGTTATATCCGTATCTTTGTTAATTCTGTAGCTGTGTTTGGACGAGCTACAGGAGAAAAGGAACAGCGAATTTAATTGTTTTTATTTAAACTATGAAACCACTCTGAATTTTTGAATTTTTAATATTTCATTGATTGTCTGTTTAAATTAATATGTTTAATAATATTTTAAAAAATTCTAGCGCTGTTCACTTTCAATTAGTGACTGTTGAAGTGGAATACTCGTTCACACGCAAGATTAATAATGATAAGGTCATGCAGTGTCATGCAAAGTGTTTCTGTATATTTATTTGAAAGTCAAACATCAAATCTGTTGGCTGTGCTAATTAATCATGATTTTAACCATTGATTACACAAAACATATTGTTTAAGTTATTTATAAAATATTTACGTATAAAATAATTGAATGAAAGTATTCTTTTTATAAAACTGTTATATATAAATTGTATAAAGATACATAAGTTACATAAAGAAAACATTTTTAAATAAAATAAAGAATATTATTACAGAAATATTTTCTTATTAGAAAAAAATATAATTATATAAGTAATAAATATAATAAAAATAATTATATAAATAAGATTATCCTCTTTTATTCTTTTTAAATAAAATTCTTTTTAAATAAATTCTTTATTCTTTTAATATAAAATATGCAAATATAGTAAGTAACATGTTTCTTGTAACGACATTACCGTTACTTTTTTATAATAATGACTTGATAATAAAGTCATTATTATAAAACAATTTTTCATGTAGAAAATAACTCGTTATTTAAAGAAAATGATTCGTTATTTTACATGTTACGTAATGTTACGTATTAAATAAAAATGAATTACTTTCTCCAAGTAATGAGTTATTTTAATTTCTTAATGAAAAATGCGTAATAGTAACAAATTATTTTCGAAAGTGACTCTTCCAATCCTGATTATCGTTATGAAAAATTGTATCTAACGTCTTATCTAAAATATAATAACTTTTAAATATTATAACTTTTACTAAATCGTTATTATAAAAAAGTAATATTGGCGTTGCTTGTTATTCTTGACAAGATATAAATATATCTAAATAATTTTTTGCGCATCATTAATAAGAAGTTAAATTTTGACTTATTTCGTTTTTCTATCCATGCAGCGAAATATACATAAAATTAATCTTTATGCAAACAAAAGAGTCTTTAAGTACAAAAATATAAGTTTAAATATAAAAATATATGTTTTGCGTTGACTTTCCATAATTATACAGCCTTACAAACGTTACAATCCATGCACTTTATTTTTGTCTACGTGCGACTCGATCTTTTCTTAGTGTTCTGAATCTTTATTAATATAATGATCTAGACTCTTATGTGTACGCCTAATTTCAGAAGATTATTAGTAAATTTTAGTTGAACCTCTATGCATATTTATAATTATATTTTTTAACAAATTTCTTTCTAACTTTTGAATTACTTTTTTAAAACCGAATTTTACTTTAAATTTTGAATTTCTTAAATTCATTTCAATCTTTGAATTTTCTTATTATTAAAAAACTTGAAATTTTTTATATTTTTATTTTATGATTTTTACAGAAAAAAATTTATATTTAGCGTGAAATAGATTTTAATTACTTTGTTATCCAATCTTTATATTTTTTGTCTAACTTACAAATTTTATTTAAGATTTTTCAGACAAAATATTTTAAAAAACAAAACGTTTTGAAAAACTTGCGCATATGCGGCCAAGTAACTTCCTGAACTTGAGAAAATCATCTTCGCTGCTCATCGGTTATCTCTGCGTCTGTCAACTTTGTTTGTGTAAGCTGCAACCATGCCTTCTAAGAATACATTTTTTATTGCTTCTATCATAAATTCATTAGCTCCCATCTCTCTCATTTTGAGTATAAGAATGCTTTTCCTAAAACTATCAAAATGTATCTACGAGAAAGTTATAGAATAAGAAGAATGTAAGAAAAATGCAAAAAATCAAGCTCTGTGAAAAAGAGGGGGGAGGGAGGAAGGGAGGGAGAGGGAGAGAGAGAGAGAGAGAGAGAGAGAGAGAGACAGAGAGAGAGAGAATGGAGAAAGAGAAAAAGAAACAGGAAAAAAAGGTAATGTAAAGAAGAGAAAAAAAAATCATAATTAGATATAATCAAAGAAGCATTCCACTAAATCGATTGAATTGCACGACGAATGAACGCCATTTGTCACTACAGTGTCATTAATATAGTAATGTCATTATTATATTAAATTTTAAATTGTGATTGACCATAGAATGACATATTGAATTGTATAATTCTGCAGAAACTAATATATAGGATAAGGCAATAATTTTGTCCATTTAGCATATCTACTAATATTTTTGGAGATACATATTAAAATATTTTTATTATAAAATTGTATCAAGAGAATCTCATAATACGCTAGTGATAATTTTTTCTTTTCTATGAGTCAGAGTGTTAAAGACTTCAAGATTACTTACATTTTTCTTAATTATACGATTTTTCTAACATAACATGACTCAATAACAGTCATTCTGTATATAAAAGTAGTGCTTTCTTTACATTAATTATTTCATCTTATTATTCTATGTAAGAGTATTAAAGTACGATTATGAAAACATAAATAACTTCAAAGACATTTTATACTTTAAAATATCACATGTCGAGTATGCCAGAATACAATTATGAACTATTAGTTTTTTAATAACTTTATCTTAATTTTTATATGCGGAATAACTGTACAAGTCGTTGTGTTAGAAAAATATTTTATATACAATTATCCACTTTATATATTAAGCAAATCTGTGTAACAGATATAAAAAAATATGATTCGAGAAAACTTTTACTCAGTATTTCTGTTTTAAATATAGTATATAATGGCTTAATGTGCGAATTACATGAATTTCGGAACTATAGACTTTAGATTTTATACGTGGAAGATTTTTACTTTTCACTATTTTTTTTAATACTCACTCCAAAATCAAAATTTCTGAATTCTTTATGTAATTAACATTTTTTTATGTAACGTCATGTACAATCGGCGTTCATACTTCGTCTAATTTTGTTGTGCTTCTTTATAAGTTTTTGCATCAAACGAAACTCGACTAGTCGCGTCGAACATTGTCGCATTAGAATAAAACGAATAACACAGTGAGGTGCATTATTGTGAGAAGAATTCAAAAGCTAGAGAGTATCCACATTTTGTTTCTTCTCTTAAATATTGAAATAAAGGGCTAAATCATCGATGTTTTTGGACGACAGTCGAGTACATGCAGCCCGGTAACACTAAGGAAGAAGTTTATATTCTACTTGTTATATTCTACTTGTCAATTTAAAATTATGTATTGTATTTTTTAATTTAGGAATTTTTAAGACTAAATAATAAATATTTACAATCAATTATATAATTGCCAAATATTTAAAGCATAAAAAATGCTAGGTTTAAATAAGAAATATTGTAGAATTATATAATTTAAATAAATCATTTGCAATTTATCTGTATGCAATGTCAAATAATATTACAGAAATAATTAAATTTTCTAATGGAATTATTGCATTAAGTCAATTTTGCTACAAATATGGTTTTTATCATTCAAACTTAAATTGATTAAATCATGTAATTTAATCACGCTATTTCAAATTTAGCTTGTTTTTCAATAAAATTCCTTCCTCAGGGTTTATATATATTATTAATAATGATAGCTAGCCGTGCTTGCTCGAAGAGCAACTAATAGAGAACCCGGATTCGCGTAAATGTTAGAGTCGATAGATGTCGATTAGATAGTTGGGATGATTTCTACATGAGAAACGCCTAGGTTCTATCTATATATGCTGTCTAAGACCAATAATCGGAACGAACGATATTCACAAATTGGGCAAATCTCACTTTGGAAAGAAGACGAAATTTTCTATTAGAGTTACAGTAATTAATAATTATCTAATCCTATTCTAAATTTATCATAACATTTATTGTATTAATGCTATTTAATAACTTTGTTTAATTTTCTTTCATCTATTATTTAAAAGTATTAGATGCGCGGCTTAGCTCTCTTATTGAGAATTTAGTCAAATGCATTACACTAAATTAATGTCACACAACTACGATCCAAAATCACACAGCAGACAGACTACATTAATAGTGTTTGTCAGATGTTTCTATTTCAAATATCGGTGGACTAAAAATATTTGGACCATAGTTATGGCATAAAACTATAATTGTGTAAAATTACGGTGCAACAAACTGCCACCTATAAAATTAGCAAAATTAAATGTAAAAGGATTTAAATATTTAAAAAAATATTTAATAATGTGATATTTACCGTTATTTAACAAAATACATGTATTATTTCATTGCCAAAATTAATGATACTGTGCTACTGCATTTAAATACTTAATATATATAAAGCAGTTTTTAATATGCATCAATCTAGTGTACTGCAAGTGACCGAATTCATTATTATATTATGTTTACCTCAAAGGGTCTGTCTTTCGAGGGAAACATAAATAAATTAATAAAATTAATTTGAGCAGCATTATAATGAATAATAATTTTTTTTACGAGAATATAGGAATATACTATATTTTACTTGCAGACGTCTATTTATATCTATAAATTTCTTCAGCTTTTAACATATACCCGAACTCATCTTATAACATTCTCATCTTCTATTACGCATATGGCATTTATTATAATTAAGATATGCAAAACTTTGATAAAATTTTTATGTTACACAAATATAATATATTCACTTTCTATATGGATCGATCTAATCTAATGGATCGATACATGCGCTTGAAAGAGGCACAAAGTTAATCGATAATCGTTCATGTTAATCCTTTATCACTCTTATATGCTTATTTGACTACTTTCTTCAATATCTCGAAGGACCTAGCCTTCGAGATCAAAATCGGCTTTAATCGTTCGTTCCGACGACTGGTTGTGTTGTCGATTTGTCGACTCGCTAAAATTTCTACAAAGGATATGATTGGACACCACTGCGATAGGTGGATCGAATTAATTGATGTTATACGATATGATTGTTGCAACGTTCTACAAAGCAAGCGGAGGCTCTTAAGATTGCCGAACGCAGAATAAGGATGGTCGACAGGATCAATAGGAGTACGGGATTCGAACTCGAGGTCGGGGATACACGATTGCACATATCCTCCTCACAGAAGCACATGTGACCAGTGCCGGTACTTTCCATCATGCACACGTGGTCCACCATGAATAAGTTTATTTGTAGCTGTGCGGTGCAGGTTCTTCTTACGCTTTCGTACGCTGTAAGCCAAAGGGAGTAATAAGCAATAAGTAAGTTAATCAAAATACATGTTCTTATATCTAATGATTCTTTAATGTATGTAATTGTTTTGCCATAATATTATAATTTACTTAAAAAAAAACGTTCAATTAAAGTAAAATTAACGAAAATCTTAGTTTTCTTAAATATAGAGTACATGAATTTTATTACAAAATATTTTTATTGCAGCTGATAAACGAGATTTAAAAATTAAATTAATTTCTTGAAAAAATATTGGTTTTTGTTTCTAATTAAGTAAATGTTTCTGAGTAATTTTCTATGACCGCGCGCATCAAAATAAGAAGGAATAAAAAAAATATTTCGATCAAGTTATATGGATGTCTTACGGGATCACTTCTCGTGAGCAGATAGAGCGGAGTGAACTAACAATGAATCGAAAAGTCCTTTACCATTTTATAATTTTCGCAATAGGAAATATTCTTTAGGAAATATTCTAAAGATCACATCAAATAAGCACATATTCGAATGAACTACCGACAAGTATATTTTATGTGAAATAAACTTTAATTGGAAAAAGTTTTTAAATTAAAAGAAAAGATAAGTGTTAGGATTATCTTGAAAATTTTATATTTTCGAGAAATCACGTTATTATAAAGTATTTTCAAAATTATAAAACATTTATTCAAAATATTTTTGCATTTCTCTTTGTTTCGGCAATATTTACTTAAAAAAATTTCAAGAGAATATGTTCTTAAAACTGTTTATCAGCCAACAAGAAATTAATTTGTCATTAAATCTATGTTTGAGTCTACTTTATGCAAATTTCAGTCTTTTTTATTTTATACTTGCCAGATTTCTCTTGTGAGATATTTTGAACGTCGTTAAATTAGTTTCTTTAAATTTAATCAGTTATGATGTAGTCTGAATTATGAAAGTTAAAGTGTCTAATAGACACTTTAATTCTCTCTAAAAAAGATGGCTTTCTTATAATAAAGATAAATACTTACGTGATTTTGCGTTGCGAACCATTTTCACGCAGCATCCGTTACATGTCATCAGCGGTGGCTGGTCTCTGGGTAGTGCCGTATAGTTGAAAGGATCCTTGCATCTGAGATCCGTCCATGAATCGCATTCGTAGCAGTAAATGGAACGAGCTGTGAAATAAATGCGCTTTCAAAGACCATGTTTTCTTTCTATCGCACTTGGGGAAAAATGTACGAAGTCAAACAATATAATAACCTTTCTACGATAGACACTTATTGTCAACAATGTTAAATTTGTTATAGATTCTTGCTTTCATTTAATATTAAACGACTCTGTGATTGTTACAAAAGTAATTAATAATCATTAATAATAATGAATAATAATTTTTAATCAAATGTGATGTATATTCAATGAATATATGTAATATAAATATATGTAAATAACAAGTTTTTAATCAGTTATATTTAAGCTATATTTAGCACTTTATTACACACACACACACACACACACACACACACACACACACACACACACACACATATACATACATACATACATACATACATATATTACACAATTTTCCGAGTGCACATTTTTTATGTAAGGTTTCATATATCAATGAGCACGCTCATGAATTCTAAAAGTGAAGCACCGTTCGCTTTCATGGCACGACAGACAATACGTTTCGATAAGATGGTTATGTTCGATGAAATTAGACAAGAATAGAATTAATTTATTTTAATTGCTGAGCGGCATTTATTACAATTTACAAAGATCATAATTTATCAAAAATTTTAATAATCAAAAATATATTTAATTATTGAAATAACTGTATGTTTTATCAAGCAAAACGTTTTTTGTTACAATTTTCGTTCGAAGCGAGAGCAATCTCGATCGGATAACTCTCGTTGGAGAATACTTTTCTGCCCTGAAGTAGATATTCTGATAAAATCGAGTCTTTTGGCCGCGAACGCATTGAGCTTCATCGAACTTCATAGAGTCCTTAATAAACGATAACACGATACGAGCATACCGAGGAGAGTAAGCTGGCTTAATCACTCACTCTGGCATTCCGCATGACAGACGGTGGCAACCGCGAGTATAATTGCCGCTGAAAATGAAAGATTAGTTATTGCTTTAGATAATGTGTGTTGGCATTGCGCGTAGTTAGCTAGCTTACGTAACTTGGTGTGATCTGTGATAACACAAGCAACAAGACTAGCGCTATTATATAATGGCTATAATGATTGCAACTATCATTACAACCACTACCATCTCCATAGCGCGGCTCTAGCATAATGGTATTAATGTTGGAGATTGCTGATAATTGTGCTAGTTAATAATGCTATCCGATTAATAAAAAAAAATCCGCGCTACAGTCAGTCCATATTTTTCTGTTTACAGAATAATTCTAATCTTTTGTTTTTGTAAATTGTAAGATATACAAGAATTGGTAACAAAGAATAGAATATAGAAGTATAAAATGTAAAATTGACATTCATGCAATATATTTAGAAGGCACACAATATAGAAAAATATACAATAGTAAATGATAATATTTGGGAATTTAGAAATCAAACTTGGTCGTACACAATTTTAAAAGAATTTTGAGACATGTTAAGTTGCAAGGTGTAAGTACGCTGAAAAATTTTAAGAGGTAATTTTTCACATATCTTAGTTATTTTAATACACAGTGTAAAAGACCAAGTTAATTACAATTTTTATGTACAAAAGTTATTTCAATATCGATAATAATTACATTTTATTCATTATATTTATAATTTGCCATACAGCATAAGATAAGTATTGCTGTAATTATTGTTTACAAGTGAATTATACTATGTAAGAGATAAGTGAACTAAATTAATATTCTTACACTTAGAAAAAAGCCGTAGTGGTTGTTGTCTATATACGTAGCAACTATATAAATGTATATAAGTTTTATATGTAGAATTAATGTACGTTAAACAAAATACATATTTTATAATTATTGTGACAATTAAATAGTTTATTTAATTATATACATTTTTTAATTATATAAGTACACTAATTCTACTTATTAAACTCATATAGTTGTCATCTTTATAGTTGCTATCATTATGCCTTTTTCTAAGGGTATGCTTGCGTACAGTACTTTGATGATTATTGTATAGATATTTGCAGAATCTGTTATTATTAAAAAGATTTATCTTACAAGATTCTCTAGGGAATACCGCGTAAAAAATATGTGTAGAAGATATACATAGGAGTATACAAAAATACAGAGTAGAAAAGAAAAAATACGAGTGATGTGCAGCAAGTATAAAAATATAGGTAAACTAAAGATAATAAAAGTATTAGTAAATGCTTTTGCAAGTATTTTTATATGTAAAACTATTACATTTTGCAAGTTTCTTCGCGAATGAAACATTCTAGCAATAATTATCTATATTAGTGAAACAAAATAATTTGGAGATGACTGACGCACTTTTTCGAAAATACCTTCGCATTTGACTTGAAATACAGAGAACTTAAATTTTAAATATAATTTATAAAATTTTATATCAAAATTATTGATTTGTTAATTTGTTAACAGTTCGTACTATATACGAAATGATGAGTGTATAATATCAACCTGTATATCCTTATTCCTACAGTCCTTTGTATTTCTCAAATGTGATTTTTCTTCATGAATCTTACGTACGTAAAACGTGTCCACGTACCTAGCAGCATGGAAGCAGCGGCCGTACGCGTGTTGATTGATCTAATATATAACACCTATGATTTCTAGATCGTAATAAAACTAAAATAATTGCAAAATCGTAACCAATTGGGACGATCAGATTTTCATGGTAATAAATATTTTGACATATAAGCCATGATTATACACTATGCAAAAAAATTGAAGATTCACCCTGTCCGTCCTCAAAAATAAGTAAATATTCAAAAGAGTGTAATTTCGTCAAAAATGATCATAACGAGATTTCTAAAAAAGCATTTTAAAGTTTGAAATATCTATTTTCAAGATCGGTAATTGATATTTCGATCTGATTGATTTTTTTACGTAGTTGTACGAACAGAAATGATCTGTTAAATATCTGTTAATATCTGTTAATCTTATTCAACATTGAATAAGAAATAATTCCTTTTACTTTAATGTTAAAAAATTCGATGAAAAAAATCGTACAATGTTCAATAAAAAGCAAATTAAAGGTGAAGATTCAATCTTTTCATTACTGTAAACAGCATTTGTGTGCGAGTTTTAGTTTACGCTATAGATCTTCTAAAATTTGTACAAAATTTTCAGATTTGAGGATACCCATTTCTGTTCGTATAGCTACGTAAAAAATCAATCAGATTGAAATATTAATTATCGATCTTAGAAGTAGATATTTCAAGTTTTAAAATGCTTTTTAAAAATCTCGTTATGATCATTTTTGATGAAGTTACACTCTTTTGAATATTTATCTATTTTTGAGGACAAACTAGACTGATCCTTTAATTTTGTTGCGTAGTGTATATTTGTATTATAACTTTTGCGCTCAAAATTACTTTAACGTTAAAAATGTTTTGTACTCTGGATATATATAAATTTTTAGAATATATAAATTTTTCTGTCCGAATTTCAAGCAAGAGGATTATAGTTGTTTCAATTTTAAAGAATAAATCTAGTTCAATATAATATTTGTGCAAGAAGCCCTACTTTAGTTCGACACAATATTTATATAATAGATATTATGTTCTTAAAATATAAAAAGATCTTTCTGAATTAAATGGAAAATCTATCGAGAACGCATGTATACTCACCCACTAGCAAATGATTCGTCCACATGCTGATAGCAGCGGGATATCCTTACACTTTGTTTAGCTTCGCGTCATGACGAAACTTCCTTAAACATCGAATAGCGTAACGCTCGATTAGCACGAGCTGATCCAACTGTATATTTCAAGCCGAATATTTCCTGAAATTACGAATCAGTTTTCAAATTAAATTTAGGACAGTTCTTTAAAGATGCATAGATCAAACTTGATATTGTAGTATCATTAATAATAAATATTTTTTATTAAATTTATTAATTTTAACAAATATATAAAATGAGACTCGAAAGATTCTATCAGTGAAAAATGTAAAAAAGCCAATCGAACGAACTAAATTGTCGGAAATCACCAACTTTGCGTTATTTATGTAATTTCGATTTATATTTTATATTGATAAGGACCTAAATTGAAGAGTCGAAATGTTTATTTTATTCGTTTTGTTATATTCATATGAAAATAAAGAATTTTCTATGCATTCGAACAACTAATATAGGCTCTGATGGGCTTTTTTACATTTTTCACTTTATTAATTTTAAATTATTCTAAATGGGAAAGTAGCTGTATAATTATATAATTAAAATTAAAGTAAGTGCTCAAGATTAATCTTTTATACTCAGCTGTTTTAAATATAACAATGTAATAATAATAATAATAATAACAATAATAATAAACATTGTAATTACATTTAGATAATTTATAAATTCTGTAAATAAACTTGTTTATAATGTGATAATATTTCATTTTAATTATATATTTTTTTGTTAAAAAATTTGTAAAAGTTAGTTAAATAAATGTCAGCTTTTTTAAAATGTTGATACATTAATTGTTGTTGACATTTGATCACTAAATGCATACTTACTCATTCTAATTTATATAGTAACACGTACCTATTTGAGAACTGTTATAAAAAGAAAATGTTTAATTTAAGGCACTTAGTAGTTCAGTAACATAATTGCACATTAAATCGTTTGACAGAACTTAATA